GTTGCCTGAGATCTTAAAAACATAGCTGTTGAGTCAGAATACTTTATTCAGCTGCCAGTCAGGAATGCTGGGGCAATGTCCAGAGGCCATGGAGAGAAACACAGCAGCCTTCAGCTCTCTGCCCACTCTAATCTACCCTCTGCAGGGCTGCCAGAGTTACCTTTATCTAGTCACTCTCATCCACACTGCCCACTGTGCCTGTAGGATAAAGTCCAAATTCTTCAGCCCACCTTGCAAAGCTTCACCATTCATTCCATCACAACCTATCTTACCAGCCTCATCTCTCATCTGCCTCCACCAGATCCTAAACTCAATATTCTAGACCAGAACTGTTCAATTCAGTTGCCACTAGCCTTGTGGCTATTAAATTTTTAGTTCATTAGAATTAGATTAAATTTAAAATTCAGTGTCTTAACCACACTAATCACATTTCAATGGCTACAGCATTGGACAGTGAGGCTATAGAATGTTTCCCTCGCTGCCAAAGATTCTATTTGGACAGCACTGTTTTAGACAATCAGACCCACTCACCATCTCCTAAAAGACTCTTTATTTTAAATATGCAATTTACACACAAGTGCATTCTCACTGTTAATTTTCTAACCTTACAAAAGTCTCCTTTACCAATTCTATACATCTCACTAGAGATAATCACAGAAATAAATTTGGTGAATATTCTCTGAATATTTTGTGTGTGCTGCACTTTGCTTTTTTTTTTTTTTTTCACTCAACAGTGCTTTGGAGATCTTCATATAAGAACACATCTCTAGATATCATGTATTCTAGGAGCTGCAGAGTAATCCAAAGCATGAATGAACTTTAGGTTACCATGGACATTCGTTTTCTGTTTCCCCTTATTGCAAACAATACTATATGCAAACTTCTTTGTATGTTTTCATGCACTTGTACACGTTTGTCTAGGACAGACACCAAAAAGTGGAATTGCTGGGTCATATGCTAATACCCCTGGGGCTTGGCACACCCTGGTACTCCCGCCTAGAATGCCTCTCCACATGACCAATTCCTGCTAATCAAGACCCATCGAGTGTCAACACCCATGGAAGGCAGTCTCTTCTGTCTCTCTTCTCCCATAGTACTTCATGTCCACAGAGAATCGTTATTGTGCACGTAAAGCCCTACCTTATTTATCTTTGTGTTCCCAATAACCTAGCATAGGGCTTAGCATAGAGCAAAAATTCAAATGTTTTCTTGGTTGGATAAATGAATGACTAAATAAATAAACAGGTGAAGGCACGGGGGTTAGGACATTCCAGATGCTCAAGGTGAGTGAGTCTGTGAATGTTTCAAACTTGGGCTCTGGACCAGTCTGCCACTTGGTGCCTCAAGCCAAACCACGTCTGTAGGTCTCTGTCTATCCAGCCCTCTGACCTTGGGCATCTCATCCTGAAGCCTCTTCAAGTCGGGCAACTCCACTGATAGAGCAGTGTGAGTGTGTAGGGGCTCTGACGCTCTAGCATAGAAATCTGAGCCCGGGGGGCGGGGGGGGCAGCCCTAACAGGGGGTTGTCTTTCAAGAGCAGCTCTGTCTTTTTCCCTTTTGAAGCAGCTTGGTGTGCTCTGGGTTTGGGTTTATTTTTTCTCCCTATGGTACCTTAGGGGCAATTAAGATCAGCTGCAACATTTCTGCTTTCGGCTTCCAGATGGAACCCAAGGGAAGCCAGATGTTTTACACCGGCATCCGCTCCTGGTGATCTCATTGACAGCCCTGTTTTCTGAGTCTCTGTGACCTGGCTTCCCCAGACCCCAGGGCCTGGCTTGCAGCCTTGCTTTTCAATGGGGTTTTAATAAGTGGCTCCTGTAATTAATTTCATTCTTGTGTTTTCACACTTTCTGTCTAGGTGCCTAAAGGCCCTCAGGCACTAGGTGGGATGTTAACAGATTTTAAATAACACAAACCACTGTGATGTCCTCAGACACTACCCCAGCACCTCTCATTTGCAGTTGTTTTACAATCCGCAATTAGCCCGGGCACACGGCCCATGTGGGACGCCAGCCGGTCACCTGTCATGTCTTACAGAGGTAGAAACAGACACGGAGAAAGGAGACTTGTCCAAGATGCAGCAGAGAGTGGGTGCTGAGCCTGGTTTCAGAAGTCCATCCTGCTGGGCACACACCCCTGTGAGAACCCAGGCAAGGACCCACTACTCAGGTACCACTTGCCAAGCGGCTGAGACCTCAGACCAATGGTCTTGGGTGCCTCACTGGGTCTTGGGGAGGCAGTTTCGCCCTCTCACCCGGACGACGGAGCAAGTCCACCCTCATCAGCTCATACTACCCCCTGCAGTTACCCCGGGGGGCGGCCTCTGGCCCTTTCCAATTTATGCGCGGATTTATCTGCACAAAGAACGCGCCAGTAATTCCTCTCGGGTTTACTAGAAACATAATTTCGCTATTTTTAAAGCTACGGTTTAAAAATCCGCGCACACGTACTCACACTCCTCTGGGAGTGTGTGTGTGTGTCGGGGAGGGGGCGGGTGTCGGTGAGTATCGAGTGCGTAAGGAGAGAGAACGTGACCCTGGGCTTCCCAGAGCTCCGCGTCCTCCCCCTGAGGGCGCACTCCAGGGAGGGCACCCGGCTCTCCAACCCCGAGCGGATTTGCGCGGTCTGGATCCTCCGAGCGCCCGGGCGTCCGACCTCGCCGGCCTGAGCCCCTTCTCGCCTGCCAGGGGAGGACGCGGCCGCCGGGTCACCAGCTGAGGAGCGAGCGGGAGGGGAGGGGAGGGGAGGGGAGGCCGAGCAGGTGGCGATTAGGTCAGCTTCGGAACATTCTTGGGCCGCTCCAGTGGATATAAATAACAGAGGGCAGGCTCCGAAAAAAATGCCGGGGTGGGGACACGGGCGCGAGAAAGAAGGGATTTGTTTAGGGTGGGGTGGCTTCGTGGGGATCTGGAAAAATCCACCCAGGCTGGTGCCCGACACAGGCGGTGGAGGGGCGAAGGGACTTAAAAGTGAATACAGGAGTGACACAAAATGTGGGAATAAGAACGCGGAGGGGGAGGCGCTCTTGCCTTTTGGCCCCACCCCTACCGCGTGTGGGTCCCAGGCTTCCGAATGCGCCTCAGATTGGCAGGCCGGGCTGGAGTTGGAGTCCCGGCCCAGCCCCGCTGCAGATCCCGTGCAAGCCGCTGAAGGTATCTGACCTCAGTTTCTGCATCTGCACAATGGAAATCCTAATGCTCACCAGGGGATGGTGGTGAGCTACGTCGGAGCTAACTTCTAAGGAGTCTGTGATCTGCAAAAAATGTAAGGCGGTGTAGCCCCCAGACCTCCCTCCAAAGGGTGTCCATGCGCCGGTCCCTTGCCGCTTCCACAAGTCTCCCAGGCTCGGCAAAAGCCGGGGAGGGGCAAAGCTGAAATCGGACGCCCTGCAGCGGCTCGGCGCCACCCTGGGGAGTCGGCCCTGGCACTTCTCAC